CACACACACACAGAATTTCCTTGCAGATAGTATGGGCCAAGTAGTGCATGGAACAGTACTTAGCATGAGGTAAATGATCAGGAAATTGCCCTTGTAACTCAGCCAGCAGTCAGGAGTTCAGGAGTAATTGATGTGTCTCAGCTTAAATTTTCCCTTCTTCGAGAAGCTTTCCTCGGCCGTCAGAGCAGCTCTGTCATGCTCATGATGTGGCCCCATGAGATTATATTCTCTCTTCACAGACTGTTGCACAGTAGTAGCTGATTATTTTTTTTCAATTATTTACATTTCCATCTTGTGTTACTCGGAGATGGCAATCCATTCTGAGGAAGGCATCACAAGATGATTTTGTTTTTGTGTGAACACCTTACAGTGACTTTAGGCAAACTTCACTGGTATAACTTACTACACCCCTTGGCTACATGGTGTACATACATCTATATAGTGTGGCCTATTGTGCCTAGCATATGTTGAACAAAACAAGATCAGGTCATGTACAAGAGAATACACTACAACTGAGAGAGACGGTAGTGGGAGATAGATGAGGCAGCTGCCAAACTAGCGGAGCATGCTGCTTTGCAGTGAACTTTGTTTCATAAGTAGGATTACACTCAAATGACAAAGCGTAGTATAGCAAATATGCAAGGCAATGTCAGTCACTTATTATGAAGTGTTATGTACTATACAGGACCATACATGACTGTGGAAGCTCTGCTTCTGTATAACCTGCAATGCATTAAGGTTGCTACGCTAACATCACTACAGGCATTTTGCTATGATGTTACAATACTAGGACTTCAGTAGGTGATGGAAATCCTTCAGTTCTGTTATAATCTTATGGACCATGGTTAGATGTGGTTCATCGTTGACCAGAATGTTGCTATGTGATGTGTGGCTGTATTTGTTTAAATTTTATTTTCTGCACTAAGTTGTAAATTCTGAGAGGTCCAAGGTATACCTAGCACAGTGTGCTCCATCACACTTATGCTATACCTTATCTATAAGGCTCAGTAGGTGTGTGTTAACTGAAAGGATGACACAATTTCTTGGATAAAAATTCTGAAAGCATTGCCGGGACCTGTGGAAACACGAAAGCCAGCTGTGTGCCGGTGAGATATTTCACTGCACCCATCTACAAAATGGAGATGTTTCTGTGGGATTATGTTAACGAGCAGATGAACCTCTGATTAGAACCATGTTAAAACAAATATGCATAAATAAGTTATGCAAAAAAGAAAAGGTGGTATTAAGCCCATCAGCTGAAATTCCAGATGGCCTTGAAACACCTACTTTAAGAGGTGGCTTTTTTATTCTCCCACAAGAAATATAACCATTTTTTCCCCTTTTCCTTCTCAGAGTCTTTGGAGAAAGAGACAGAGACAGAGGCAGTGACAGAGGAGACAGAGACACAGGTAAAAGATCATATACTTGAAGTGTATGACTTAGATTTTAAAAATTCCACAGCATGGGTTTGTGTAGATGGGCCAGGAAGAACAGAATATTGCTAAATGACAAAATGCATCACAATTCTTACAAAATAGACAAAGAATTTGTAGACTTACACACTTGGCTGAAATAATACTGATGACCTCTATATCTTCAGCTGCTTTGAAAAGAAAAAAAATATATAAAAACCTAGAAAATCATTCCCTGCTCCTCCTGTGCCACTCGGGGTTACAGACACACAGCACAACCAACGCCTGCTGCTGATGTTTCTCTTTGTTTCCGAGGGTCCTCTCCTGTATTTTGATTATTAAAAAATGACTAAAGTCACTTGAAGGAAAAACTGCAGGCAGACAGAGGTCTATGGAAGGAAAGTGTCTCTCCTCAGAGACAACCCACGGACCTGTTCTTGTTGCCGACCCCACTTTGCTAGGCTTCTGGTGAGCGTGGTAGGGAGGGAGGGCGCCACTGACCACAGCGGGCTCCCGTGGGAGATGTGGAGCCCCAGCAGGGTGCCTGGCTCAAGGCAGCACTTCCCAGACTTTTTGGTGTCAGGGTCGCTTTCGACTCTCGCAAGTTAAGACTGAGCCATTTGTATTAAAACTGAAAAATAGTTATGAATTCATTGAAAGCCAAGCCAAACAAACCCCTGACACATTAACATAAATAACACGACAACTGTTTTTTTCCAAAGGAAATAATTAGTGGCAAAAATGGAATTGTTCTACATTTTTATAAATCCCATTGATGCCCGGCCTCACAGGCGACAGAGGGTGTCTCATATCTCTTCTCACATGCTGAGGTGGGAGAGAGAGTGCCGAATGACGCCATCACACCCCACGTGACCTCTGGGAAGCACCACTTTGCATTGCTCAGAGAAGCCTAAGTCAACCATGGAAACTGCTCGGCAGGGCTGGGGAGAGCTCAAAGGATTCAGGCAGTGACCAGGAAAGAGATTTGACAGTGGAAAACACAGCTCATGGCACAGTTACCTGTTACTTTCAGACCCCTGAGCCTCATAAATACCATATGTCTGATGTCCAAGACTGAGGAACATTTTGAGATATGAGTAAAATATCTTAGGTGTTCAGAAACACTTCTTTAAAAATATGCTCTATAAGGCTGGCATCAGTTTCACTTGAGATGCACTGGGCGGAGTGTGGTGGGTTGTGCTGGTGACTGGAAGGCCCTGTTGGGGTGAGGGTGGGGGCGTCCCTGGGATGGTGGCATTCAGCAGCGAGGGGGCCAATTCCCTTTCTGCTGTCTCAACCCATCAAGCAGATCGACACCAACCTGCTGATAATCATTGCTTCTGGCTTGGGACTTACACTCTTGGCATTGCTCGGGGCGGTTCTCCTACAAGGTAAGGTGGCAGGACAGCGGGGGGAGAGGGGGGATGGATCCCTAGGGGTGCAGTGACTCCTGCAAGGTCTCATAGTGAGTTGCTACTGTGTCCTATCCCTTTCTTCTGCCCCCAGAGAAGCCTGGTCCTATCACAGCCCCCATGTCAACCGGGAGGTAAACCTAAATTAATAATGGCTGTTTACATTGTCCTCCAGGCAGAATTTACATTCTGGAAAAGTAAACACAAGAATTGGAGCACCTTCCTTGACTGGACACTTGGTTCCAATTTTATGGCCTACCCTGATTTGTTCCGTCTTCATTTTTGCCTTACTGGAAAGTGCTATTGCTGTTTTCGTTTTGGTGTCTAAGAACACCTGGAGCCTCCTCTTTCTTTTGCAAGGACTGCGCCATGAATGAGCTTGGCCTTATGTGTTACCTAAAGGCAGACTTCCCTAACCAAGGCCATGGATGGCCTGCAGGACAGACCTGAATCCCTGACAGTCATTTGCAAATGTGTTTATTTGTCCATGTCTGCATTTTCCAAGGCACAGGGTCCATAGTCTTCACTAAGTTCTCCAGCTGCCCCATGGCCTTGCACTCCTCTCCCCAGAAGTAAAGTTACAAAATGCTGTAAAAGGCAGCCATGAAACACAGATTGTGGTTCTCATGCAGGATATAGGGACAGGGCACCTGGTACCATTCTAAAGTGGAGAGGAATTATTGCTTCGGGGAGGCTGGTCCTGAGCTATGACTGGTAACCATCTCAGCAATTCTGAGCAGCAGGGAAACTTGTATATTCTCACACCTGTCCCAGGTGAATACTGCAAAAGGAAGTTTAGAACTCACTGAAAGCCTGTTACAGCTCTCAGACTAAGTCATGGGTATAGTTTTGGAAAATTTGGGTCTGGCTCATAAAGAAGTGTTTTAAAACTCACATGATTACTTGAACTCTAGGTAAGTGAATGCCTCCTAAGTGAGACAGCTTGACACCATGGCCCACAGAGCTGGAATTATAATTACAGTCATAGGCACCGATTGGGGTCTGAAGACAGCCAGCCCTGGACCAGGGAAAGGGACGGCTCTTCCTGCCAGCCAGCCCTAACTCACCTTTGGCTGCAATGGGAACGGCGGCCTCTTGTAGGCCCACACGCTCCAGCAGCAGCTTCTCCACTCATGCTGTGGCCTTGTCTTTGCAGGAAAAGTCATGAAAGCCAACTGTTTGAAGAAACACAAGAGGTAATTCGTCCTGCGTGACCCATGGTCATAATGGTTATACAAGCTGCTACAAATGATCTGATGCTACTCAGTGGTTGAATGACTTGTGCTTGTGTTCTGGTTGAAGGCAGGAGTGGGGAGATGTGGCATTAGAGGGGAAAAAGATGTGGGGAATTAGCTCACATTAACCTGTGTCTCAGTGAACACTGTGTCTATCCAAAGTGAAAATAAAGGCAGGTGGCATCAGTAGAAGTACTGCATGCAAAAAAAAAAAAAAAAAAAAAAGAAGAAGAAGAAGAAGATAATGTGTCACTACTCTGTTCTACATTTGTTCAACTCTGGGTAACTCACTTTTACAAATTGAACAGGATTTTATATTATTGAACTGGAGTTCACTGGGAGGAGAGTTGAAAATGTGGAGGATGAAAAAATTAGACTAATATTCCTGGGATTTGGTTCTTCTGCCCAATTTGCTATTTAATTTTTTACCAAAAATACTAGCGTTTGAAGAGTCCCTGGAAATGTAGCTTGGATCTCTGTCCCATCTATAGCTTTCTGGGAAAGAAATGTAAACATTTGGTGTAAGTTGTTGATGAAAGCCTTGTTTTCATTCTCCAGCTGTGTCAGTAGTATAACACTTGTGAACAAAGAGCATTAGCAAGTGGGGAGACTGAGGTGCAGCCAGCTGACCACCCAGGGTCACCCTTGGAGGTCTTTTGGGTAAATAAATGCATCTAGGTCATGATTTTACATTTTCTCATCTGATAATACTGTACATCGGCAAATAGCTTCATGTCATGTGGCCTCAGTTTCCTCACTTGTAATAAGATAAATTGGGGCTGGATGGACCCTGAAATTTTAAACTCAGCCTCTGGTCAGCTGTACCATAAAGCAGTGGCATTTGTGTTTTTTTCTCCCAGGCTTGCTGATCCTCTTTACCAGCCTGCCTCTTCCCTTTGCAGCCTACACAACCTTGGAGAAAGCAAAAGCGTCCTCAGCGACACGTCACGTGAACAGGAGGACGAAGACGGCCTCTTCACACTCTGACTCTCCCCTTTCTCTTGGGGTTGTGGGGGGACTTGGCATTTGCAGTGTCCAAATAAGTTTGGGATGTTTTCATGTTTTTCTTTAAAGTCTCACCTCTTCCGCTGATGTCATGGTCCCAGGTTTCTTTTTGTTTCACACCTCCAAGGTACTTTAGCGACCATGTCTTCTTTACTCCCTGCTTAGCCATCTCAATATCACCGCTAAGTGCTCTTTCATATTATGCTTGAATATGCTCAGTGATGGTGAGCTCATAACCACACCATCTTGTCACCAGTTCAGACTGGAGAGTTTCTCTTGAGACTCAGGCAGCCCAAAGGAGAAACACAGAACTGTAAACTGAGTTGAACCTTTTTCATTCAGCTGCTTAGCCAGAGTCACCTGATGAGCTCCTCTTGCGGCCCTCAGCCCCTGTACACTCGTGGCAGTCCTCATGTTCCTTTCCCAACCATGCTCCTAGCAGCCCTCCCCTGCATTTATACCAAAATACAATTTTGTTCTGAAATCCTGTACCATTTTTATTGGTTTTGTTTTGTTTTGTTTATGTTGTTGGTATTTTGCTATTGTTCTTTTTTTATTATTCTCTTTAAAATAAAAAGCAAAGGTGGCCATGTGCCAGCAACAAGCTTGGCTATGGAAGTTATTTCCATTAGGATATCAGGACATGTGTGTTTGCACTGGAGTCCTGTTGACACAGAGCTCACTGCCTCCTGATCCCTTCACATTTCAACTTGAACGAGAGTGCCACCATCTTGGATTTGCATTTCCCTACACTCCCATGGGAGTCCATTCAATCTCAGGGCAGTTCTAAGAGTAAGACATATTTAGAGCAAAATCTGTCTCTCAATAGCATCACTGTGTTAGTCTTAGCTGCACATATAGTGTTTACACAGAACATGAAAAATCTCACTTCTACTTGGTAATTGTCCTGAGAGAGAAGGAGAACCTCATGTGCCTCTAAAGTGCCTTGCCTCTGGGACCCAGTATGTTTGTACTGCTCCTTTTCTGCCCAGGTTTCTGAGTTCAACACCCACCTCCAGGTTCAGCAGGAGCTACCCTGGTCTATGTTTCATTACTAACGCAGGGAATGATGCAAAATCACACCAGAACTTTGACTCATTTCTAAAACTCCATTTTGTATTATTACTATTTTTTAAATCAAATTTGAATGTCTTTAAAGGTAACCCTGTTGCCACACCTTAAGTGTTATTTGGGAAATTTAATTTTGGAAACATCTAAAGGTCCATCAGAACACGATGTAGTAAATGACAAGGACAGTCTGAGGATGTGACAGCAATCCAACTAAATTCCTCTAAATGTAATTCATGGCCATTTGCTCCACAATAAGAACAGGTTTATTTTAAAACTTTAATAACTACTAGCATGAAGAACCCTGGGAGAGAGATTAAAGCAAAGAGTTTTTGAAGGAATGAATGTAAAAATTGTGCCCCAGTGGCAGGCACTTCTGGCTAGCTGTTGGGAAAAGTAAAACAGACCTGAAAGGCATTTTTCAGGAGGTACTGCCAGCATATTTAGAGCAATAACAACGTTAATGGAATAAGAATGCTGTCCTCCAAATAAAAGATTTCTATTCCCTTAATAGTACCTTGAAGAGAAAGCAAAAACCAGTCTCATACCTTGAGCGGTACAACCTGTAGATTCGCTGCTTTTATGAAACCCACCCCTTCCCCCAAGTCTCGAATTGGCTGCCTTATTCTGGCCCACAGCCCTAATTTGCTTGCCCAGGACACTGTTTTAACAAACTTTGAATTTTTGTACTATCCAACTAAAAAGTTCACACCCTGGCAGCTAAAATAAAAGTCCCCCTCTCACCTGGGTTTCTGAAGAATACCAGGCCCAGAGCAGCCTGGATCGTTGTTTAGGTTTTGAGTAAAATGCCAAGCTTGTCCCAAGCAACAGAAACAGCTAATAGTGCTTTGGTGGCTCCTTCTTTATTTTCATGTTTTGAGCCATTAGCTTAAGCCACTAATAGTAACCCTCACGAGTGCACTCAGCACAGACATTTATGTAGAAACTGAGTGAGAAATGAATGGAAGTTCGGGTGTAGGGCCCTAACTTCCCTGTGTGGAAAGTGGAGGGGGCTGGATGACTTGATCTAGGTGGTCGGCCCGTAATATTTTGTAAGTCAGCGATACGCCCCACCCTACTTAGCTCAGGCTCCCTGCCCACCCTGCAAAACAACTGCAGCCATCACTATCACTTGGACTCTAATTCAAAAAAGAAGACAGCAGATCCCTCCTAAGTACATCGAAGCTCAAAGTGTATTTCTCTGCTTTACAAAGGACCTTTTTGAACCCTTTCTGAGACTCCTGGGTCAGACTCAGAAACATTCACATACAGAGTTCTGATATTTTAGCAGTGGTAGTAGCCTCCAGGAGCCTCTAGCCTAGTAGTTCTCAGTTTAGTGGAACACTGCAATCAACTGGGGAGTTTTTAGAAATGCCAATTCCCAAGTCCCACCCAGGGAGAGGTTCTTTTGTCTGTGGTGTGATTGGGGCATCTGAATTTTAATTTTTAAACACTTCAAAAAAGTTTTAATAGAAAGCCAGGGCTTCCAGCCCATTTGAACTGCTGTTCTAGGCTGCTAGTTCTCAAACTATGTACTTTTTTTTGATACTGGGATTGAACTCAGGGACTTCATACTGAGCTACATTTTCCCATTCCCACTAAATTCCCTAAATTTTCCAGGCTGGACTCAAACTTGAGATTCTCCTAAGGGTACTAGGATTGCAGGCACAGAACGGCAGCCTGAGAATAGACCAGGCCAGGCAGTGGTTGAAGTGATCACCGTGACAAGAGGTGTGTGTGTGTGTGTATGTGTGTGTGTGTGTGTGTGTGTGTGTGCCCAGTTAAAGGCACAAAAATTCAAAGTTTGTTAAAACAGTGTCCTGGGCAAGCAAAATATGGCTGTGGGCCAGAATAAGGCAGCCAATTTGAGACTTGGGGGAAAGGGTGAGTTTCATAAAGTGATGAGTTGATTTGAAAATAATAATGCTTATGTGAAGATGCCCCAATCAGAGGAGGTTGTCCGTGTGGTTGTTCTTTGTTATGGCAGAAATTCCCCTGGCATACATTGGGCTGTATTCCACAAGAGACCTGAGTCTATTGAGAACAAAACCAGAGTTTAATTTGAGGCTAGCCACCCTCACTTCCATTTGCCAATCTGGAAGCGGGCCAATGGCCAACCTTGTTTCACCTTACATACATTTTGGTTTCCATCGGCAACAGATTGGAATGTTACATTTGCTGACCCCGGTGGGCATATGGTGTTTCTCTCATCCTGTTGGACCCCAGGTCAGTTGCAGGTCGCATGTCTAACCATGATAGATATTTCCCCCATTACATTCCATTTGTCTCCTTTTTTACAACCTATATATTCCTTTAGGGTTACGTTTACCTACAGCTAGGAGAAGGAACTGCCCAGGCAGGCTCACGGAGGGTTACCTAGGCCTAGGCACCCTTTATCTTGGGGAGACATTCCTGGGCAGAGTTGATCTGGGGAATTAGCTCTTACACTGTCCCGGGAGGCTTCCCAAGGCACCATGTAGGCTTTTACCAAAACAATTTTATCTAAAATAATATGCTAAGATTCATTGCCCCCTACGTCTTGGCATTCTCTTTGTGTGACAGTATAAGTAGGTAGCCTCTACAAACAACTTTTTAGTAACTGTTTTGTACTCGAGAGGGAGAGCCCAGGAAAAGGCATTGGTTCTCTCACAGAGGTTAAAGTCCGAGACAAACACACTTGGGAAATGCAATCCAATGGAATCTGGTTGTGCTTCCATGGCTGCAAGGAAGGCCTTTGATGCAGTGTTTGGCTCTTACGGCTGATATTTATAGTGTAAGTCCATAATCAAACCTTGAGTATCTAAAGCAACTTCAATCTTGACCTTGGCTTTTCTAGACTAAGTAAAATAGATAACATAATCTTCAATGAGCACTTTTATGTTTGGGACTGTGCTAAATGTTTCAAATCAGCTGTCTTGTGGACTTCCAGGAGCTGCTCAGTAACAGGTATGTCATTCCTGTCACTGAAAGGACATGCCGAAGATCACATGGTCCAACCTCCTGTGCCAGAGTCAGTCCTTGAACCAGGCATAAAGGACCTTACATTCTTCACACAACCCTGAACTTCACATCTGAGGGCTCTGATTTATGACCTCAGGCATATGCCACGGGGGCACTGACCTGCACTGGACCTCTGGCAACTTCAGTTTACTCAGACCCACAGCACCTGAGAGTATTGATGGTTCTCCCGTCCCAGCTCCCTGTACCTCAGTCTTCCCTGTCCCATATTACTGGTTCAGAATCTGATTTGCATTTGCAGAGGAGGCGGCAAGCAGAGAGCCTGGCAGGAGCCTTAATGAAGCCAGGTTGGACCCATTTCAGTGGAATGTGTTGAACTAACTCATGAGGCACTGAAGCCAGCTGTCAGAGGCTTAATGAAAGGTTGACAGGAAGTCAGCAACGGCTGGCTGGGGAGACTCTTTGTCTCTCTAAAGAAAACAGAAAGTTGAGAAGTGGATTCCCTGCCTGGAGACAAGAGCAGAAGGAGGAAACCAATTGAAACCACTGTACTGAATGTGGAAATAGAGTTGCATTTAGATTAGTAAACATGTTACAGTACAAAGAACAAAACACAGCAAAACAAAACAAAACAAAACAAAGAACGACCCACAGGAGTTCTTAGCTTTCCAAGCACCAAAGGACATCAGAGGGAAGTGTTACCAAAGGAGACTGCTGATCCTCTTTGGAAGGTCCTTAACCACCAGAATGGCTCTGCAGGAAGCACAAGATGAGTTCACCGCTTGAGCTGGTCAGGGTGGTTCTGGATCCTGTGCATGCTCATGGTGAATGTGGAGGACTGGGGTGGAGGCGGAAGAAAGACCCTTCTGCAACTTTCCATTCAGTTCTCATCCTTCAGTGGAAGAAACAGAGGCCAGCCAGGGCCAAATAAGTTGCTCCAGGCCACCCAGTGAAACAGTTCTAGAGCAGGACCTAAACCCTGGTCTACAAACTTGTTTCTGCCACCACTTCTTGGAATTTTTTCCACGTTCACTTGCACCTGCCTGATTACTGTCCCAAATGTTACTCCATGATCTTTTGGGTGAAGTCATGCAGCTCAGCATTTATTTTCCTATCTATAACCACGGAGCCATCTCTCCCAGCACAACCCTGGAAGAGGCTCCCAGACGCATACCATGTGCTCCCAGAAAGGAAATGGAATGCAGAAGTGCAAAGCCTGGTTTCTCTGTTGCTCTCTTACCACTATGACTAGGATGACCAGTTTGTCTGGGTTTGCCTGGGAGTTTTCAGTTTTCAAACTTAAAATCCTGAGTGCTGCAAGATCAACCCCGCCCCTAAACTGTGGTGGTTGGCCAATCTAAGGTTATAACTAGAGGTCAAAGACAATCCCCGCCCCCACCAGTTCTTTCACTCCAAACCTTGCACTTTTCTCTGTTAGTGACCGTTTTTCCTGGGACACTATTTGGTCCCAAGTAGAATATGATTTTCTTAGATTTCAAGTTAGACTAAAACACAAAACGGATCTACCGCCTGGACCAATGGTGGTGAACCTATGGCACACATGCTGCAACAGGCTGTT